GTTCAGATGTGCTCGTTTGAAGGCAGCAGCCGTTTTGTGTTAGCTGGGATTTATTGGTGAGAAGGTTGAGGGCAACACCTGGTGCGGGGACTTTACAGCCGTCGCGAACAGACGGAGCCGGGGACGTGGAAGGAGAGGAGCCAACGAGCAGCACGTCTGCAGCAGCACAGAGAGGGCGAGAGAGAGAGAGAGAGGTGACGAGCTCCGTCAGGTCGTTCACCAGCTTTTAATGAAATATTGGTTGAACAAAAGTCCACTGTACTGAGGAACGTAGAAACACAGGTGGAAAAAGTCCTGTTCTGGAGTGAATTTTGTTAGTAAGTTGAGTTGCCCGCTACGCTCAGGGTTCAGGGTTCAATTCAACCAAGTCCCCAATCCTAACTGGGGTTTATTCATTCCAAGAAAAATGTGTTAAATTCACATGAAGTCGAATGTGGTTGAGATTGGGTTTAGTTTTGTTTTTTTAACGTTTGAATTCAAGAGAAAATGTGTTACAGGAGTTAAATTAAAAAAAAACTGAACACTAAATATTCTACAGCAGGGGTGTCAAACATACGGCCCGCGGGCCAAAAAACGGCCCGCTATCGTGTCCAATCTGGCCCGCCTTGATGACTTAAGAACCTGACCTTATTGTCAGTTATAATTTATCACGGTGTGATTGTACTGGTCACTCGGCCCCTGAACCAAAACGAGTTTGACACCGCTGTTCTACACGACAACAAGGCGGTCAATGGTTAACACCGAGAAAAGGTGCACAAAGGTCGTTACATAGCGTTACATAAGACCAGACAAATAAGAAAACCTGTTTTTTCTTTCTTCTCATTAGCCTTTCATGCCAAGAGCGTTCCTTCGTGTAATAACAGAGAGTTCAGAGATAAAAGAGGAATTAAAGACCGAGCTCTTGACTCAGCCTCTCGGCTCCACGTTAGCGCTCTGACGCTGTGACACTCTGACGCTCGTACTGCTGTGTCATGTCCTGCTCTGTTACACAACTCCTCACCTCTGTCCACTCTTCGTTTGTTTGGTTTCTCTCGGGCTGTGTGCACACATTGCCTTAGTTCCATGTAGCTCTCGTTCGCTCCTGACAAAGACCGGGGGCCGCTGCTGCAGTCAGGTATGTGTGTCTGTGTGTGTGTGTGTGTGGGGGGGGTCGTCAGTGTTGGACAAGTTTTCATTTTCTTGGGTGAGTTCTCTTTTTTTGGTTCAGATGCAAGTTCAAATCTGCAGAATGAGGTTCGTTCCGTGCAGCGCGCTCTGTCAGTTTGACACCAGTCATTAATTACAGCACAGGTGTCAAACTCAGGCCCGGGGCCCAGATCTGGCTCCTGGTGTAATTATATATTTGGCCCGTGAGATCAAATCAAACGTGTATTGGAGCAGGCTTGTCATTATAGAGCAGGATTTGTAGTATTAGTGCTGTGTGTGTAATGTTTTAGCACATACTTTTTTTTTTTTTTTTTGCTACAGATAAGGAGACGTAATCAGAAACTGATGTGTTTTATTTCTCATATTAAACTTTGGTTGTTCCAGTTTCAATGTTTACTCAAAAAAAAAAAAAAAAAAAATTCTACATTACAGTTTGCACAATTATAGTCAATGTTTCAGTCAATATTGAGTTTGGGCCGTGACTTCGTCCCATTTCTTTAAGTTTTAATTTCTCACTGTGAGTTTGAGTTTGACACCCCTGAACTACAGACTCTAAACCAGTGGTTCTCAACCTTTTATGGCTTGTGTGTCCATTTTGACAACACAAATTTATGTTTTTTTTCTTTTTTTTTTTTTTGCTCGAGCAGTGCAGGTGTTTCAAAACTAGCTTCTCTAATTTCTAAAACCGCAGAAGCAGTCTGATGATTTGTATCTCTCCCCTCAGGCCACCATGGTAGTCCTCCTGTGTTTCAGCTTGTCACTGCTGGCAGCCGTGCAGTGTAACGGCATCAAGAACTGCCACGCCGGCTGTCGCTGTGAGGTGGAGAGCTTCGGCCTCTTCGACAGCTTCAGCCTGACCAGGGTGGACTGTCGGGGACTGGGACCGGGCACCGTCATGCCTGTCCCCATCCCGCTGGACACCACTCACTTAGACCTGTCCTCCAACGCCGTGGGCCCGCTCAGCGACGCCATGTTGGCAGGACCGGGCTACACCACACTCGTCAGCTTGGATCTGAGCAACAACCTACTTACAAAGGTCGGTGGTTGAAGCCGGTCACTCATTAACCCGTGGAAGTAGGTTAGGTGCTAATGATGATGTTATAATAACAACAGTTATGGCAGCAGTTGGGGGTAAATGTGATGATGATGATGATGATGATGATCGAACATGGGACAGAAACACATTTGATTTGATTTAAAAAAAAAAAAAATAACATCCAGAAAATCTGAATACATTTGTATCTCTGTTTTATGCTGAAACCGCTTAAAAAATAGTAAAAAAAAAAAGTATGCCGATATTTTCCAAACACCCCATATCCGATTCCGATATCAACTGATACTGATTTCCAAACACTTTGATTCCGATTCCGATATCAACTGATACTGATATAGCGCCATCGTGGTGGCCTGGTAATTTTTATTTATTTAAATCTGTACAAACCACGGCCTGGTAATAATTATTTATTTATTTAAATCTGTACAAACCACTGTATGAGTTGTTGGCACCGGCATTCTGCACACAATCCCCTGATAAAGTGAGCCGCAATGCTGCCATCTAGTGACTTTCACTTTCATATACAGCTGTTTTTCCCTCCAAATTTTTTTTTGGTCACACACACCATTTGGCGAAACCCAGGCATTACGTTATCGGGTGATGATTATTTGAGGGAAAAAGGATAATGATTCTTACAGATGTTACTTAATTATGCTAATATCGGTCGGACGATATTATCGGACATTCCTGAAAAAACATATTTTAACTTTTTATTTACAAATTGACATATGTCTATATCTTCAGTAATTTTATCTCAGCAGCTTTGTTTTTTTAAATTTTTTTTTAACAGCTCATGTTGTTGGTTTGTTATTTATCTGCGTCTTTATCTGCTTCCCCAGATTAGCCCCAACGCTTTGTCCAAACTGCGTTACTTGGAGACATTGGACCTGAGCCACAACAGCCTGGAGAGTCTCCCATCGAACTGCTTCTCTGGCGTCCCTCTCACCGAAGTCGACCTCAGCCACAACAGCTTCCGGGAGTTCGACTTGGACGTGTTTGGCACCAAGGTCAGCGGTGAACCCATCAGTGTGGATCTGTCCAACAACAGACTGGTGTCGGTCGCCAAGACTGAGGGCAAAACGTTACACATCCAAACCCTCAACCTGTCAGCGAACCGGCTGACCGCTGTGCCGCGGCTGGCCGGACTTCCACTGCGGTACCTCAACCTGGACGGAAACCTCATCGAGGAAATCAAGGAGGGAGCCTTCGCTCCGCTGAGAGACCTGGTGTATCTGTCCATCAGCAGTCCTCACGCCCTTCACCTGATCCAGCCTTTCAGCTTCAAGGGCCTCCAGAGCCTGCAGGTCCTGGACCTGTCCAACAACCTCAGACTCAAAGCTCTCAGCACCGCCGTGTTCAGCGGACTGGACGCCCTGCAGGAGCTGAATTTGTCGGGCTCTGGCGTGGCATCGCTGCCCAACAACATGCTGTCCCACCTGCCCAGTGTTAAGAGTATAACGCTGGGGAAGAACGTCCACTGCAGACGGACGCAGAAACAAGGACAGTTCCACCCGCAGCTGGGTCAGGTCCAGCACAACGAGGTTCTGAGCTGTAAGGAGGAGCGCGTCACGCTGTGAGGCCAGGACGTGGACACATTCTCAACAAACCTGTGCCTTATGTGCGTTTATACGCAAAACGCTTCTGGTGCGACTGGTCAGAATATTCAGTCTTAAACTTTTACTGCAGTTCTTACTGTATCCTCGTGTACCTGCTGTAGCTTCTAGAAATTCCTGTAACAGAGTTCTTTTTTTACTTCTTAACAAACTTGCATACACTACAACTAGGGATGTCCGATACTAATGGCCGACCGATATTAGCATAATTGCCCGATATTAGCATAATTATATAATATCTGTTATCGATTCTGTTTTTCTCCGATAATGAAAACCTGATAATTCTTTTTTTCTCCGATAATGAAAACCTGATAACGCAATATCTGGGATACGCCAAATTATGTGTGACCTAAAAAAAACGGCTGTATATGAATGTGAAAGTCACTAGATGGCAGCATTGCAGCTCGTTGTATTACTCTATTTTGACAATCAGGGGATTGCATGGAGAATGCTGGTGCCAGCAGTAGAAAAATAAGTAAGTAAATATTACCGGGCACCGATAGTATTTCGGGGGGGGCACAAAATAATTGACAAACACAGCTTTGACCCATTACCTTAGCGGCACTTAACTTCCTTAACCACCAGGCCGCCACATCGGTATCGGTTGATATCGGAAAGTGTTTGGACAATATCGGCATATCGGATATCGGCAAAAAAAATTTATATCGTACATCCCTAGCTACAACACGATAATTACTGTTAGGCAGTGGCTCCAAAGTACTTAATCACGTGTGGGACCATGTTAGGATTTATTTGCACTTCATTCCAATTTTGCATTTTTGCCTTAAATAATGCACTCGGGACAAATTGTCTACAGCCAGACTCGTACGTTTCCTACTGCTGACCACTAAAAAAAATGTTTATTTGACTTTGAATGTGAAGATACATAAAGATGAACATAGGTATATATATATATATATATATATATATATATATAAAACATATAAGCACATATTCTCGCCTGCATGTTCAGTGTGAAAGAAGTTTGATATGAAAGTCGTTTTGCACAAAGACTGAAACAGCAGTCTGCTGTGATGAGGTCACATCTGATTCCAGTCTTGGTGTTGACCTCACTGGTTTGATCATGAAGGGTTTTTTTGTTGTTATCAAACTCCTTTCAACAACAAGGTTTTCAACCCAACAGCCACAAAAATGTCAGTAATATAACTTGAATTCCCACAAAAGGCCAGAGAACGACATCCTGTCCAGCGTGTTTGGACATTTTTTTTTTTTTTTTACATTTTAGGTTCAATACGCAGCCTTTGCAAAAAAAAAAAAAATCTAAAATGCATTAATTTTTTTGACCTTGTGTCAAATCCAGCTCTGTGATCAACAAACACACGTCGTGTCCTGATGCTGGTGTCTGTTGATGTTTAAACACAGGGTGGCGCTGTGCTGTCGTCTGTAAACCTTGGTGTAGCATTCCTGTGGTATTTCTACAAAGACTGCACGTTAGCCTTCGTGAATGAATGTCGTCTGTTTATCGAGACTTTATTAATTTTTAAAGTAGATCCTCCGTGGATACCTGGAACTATGTAACTATTGTACATAACTTTATATACAAATATGAAGCACATGTTTAATAAAGAAACTATTCTCAGATGTTTTGGTCCAGTTTGTGAGAAGAAAAAAAAATTGAGACGAAATTGTAAAATGTTGTAAAAATCATCATTTTACAATTTAGTTTTGCATCATGGGATCACGGTGTTTTTATACCTATATATATATATATGTATTAAAAAATGTACACTTCTACAACTATAGTAAATGGATGGATGGCACGGATGGATGGCTGGATGTGTGGTTGGATGGGTGGACGTTGTACAACAGAAAATGTGCGACACATTTATAAAGATGAGGTTTATAAATGTGAATATCCACAGAGGTAGAGAGAGACTTGGAAGCTAAATGTGAGTCAGAAATTCAGTTTCTTTTTTTTTTAACTCATTAAATTGCACAGAAAAGAATTTCCTCCAACTGTCAGCAGTGAAGCCGTGAGGAAGTGGCTGCTGATCTGCCTGGAGAGAGTGGTTTTGACCTCACTGGAGAAAACACTTCCAGATGTTTCGGCTT